TGAGTTGACTAATCGTCGATGGATGTGTAAAAAAGGCAAAAGATTGATGATTACCGCTAACTTTTAAGAGCGAAATCTAGGCAGCGGGGAAAAAATCCGGCCCGTGGGCCGTATCGTAAAAAGCTGGACCGGTCACGTGCCTATGATTAGCCAATCAAATTCGAGGATTTAGGATTCCGGCCCGCTCAGATGCTTGAGAGAAAAAATAACACTAACTATTTCCTCAAGTATGAAAAGACGGACTCCAAGGTTGTCCTCGGTACATATTCAATAAACACCAACTTGAAATTAGACTGCAAAAAGCTTAGAGTTGGTATATACACCAAGAAAACTATTACATCACTATAAATCATTTGAAAACATGTTCATGTGGTTCTATTTTTTTTTTTAACTTCATACTTTTTAGTCACACAACGCTCACAAAACTTGCTTGAATGTTGGTGTTGCGTGACTCCCCAAACGGACGAGAACATGTAATATGTGGTGTTCACCTTAACAGCTGTTCATGTTGAGATTTACTATTGAACACTACAGTGAATGAAATTTCCCGGATGTGAAAAACCTACGAAAATGCGGTTTATGATCAACGAGCCACTAGTCCCCAGTGAAACTGAAACCCCACGTAGTCCACGTAGACTGGGTTCTAGATTTGGCTAAAAAGATGGAGTGGAAAATCGAAATTGACGAGCTCGTTCGGTTTGCAAAATCAAATGAAAATCGCTTTCCAATTTTCATGAAATTTTCCCAAGACACTGACGATCCATTCGTGAAGGGTAAGCTCGCTATTCTAACTCTGGATGCAAACAGTGCTTTTCAACGTCACATTGCTGAGCTAGGATTCAGCAGCCGTGAGGAAATAGACACCAAGAGCAGAGAGCAGACTCGTACCTTTGTTAGCAGACTGGAACACCTCCATGGAGCTGCAAATGAAGCGAAAAAAGGCAGAGATTTTGTTTCAGGGCTTGATCTTGGCAAGCTGCAGGAAGACCTCGTAGAAGTGTTTTTGTTATGTGTGGATCACGATTGGAATTACGTGTTAGGCGAATACCAAAGAATCGCAATATTTGAAACTCTTCTTAAGTCCCGTCTGCGGGATAATCCAGGTATGTCTTGGCTCAAATGGAAATTTCATTTGACAGGTAGTATGGCTGAAGAATCTCAGGTCCCAGACATGAGTTACCGAGATGGAATCTGCTCAGTCAACGTAAATCCTGAATGTGATATCATGTTGAGCGTGTCACATGTCACCCTGGGCTTAAATGAACAGTCTCTGACTGATACACATTACCCTGGATTTGTTTACCTGCGTGTTCCAACAGCCCCAGATGATAACGAAAACGTGCTGCAGTTACTGACAAAGAGAGATTCCAAGTACTACGTCTCTGCTTTGAAGTTTAAAGATGGAATCTGTAGAATGCTAAACGAATTAAAGGTTATTTCAGACCAGAAGGAGAACCCGGAAATAGAAGATTCTGAACTGGAGATTGCTCCCCATGGCCCTGCGATTCAAATAGATGAGACATGTTTTGGGGAAGGTATGTATAACTCGTATGATGTGGTTCCAGCAATCGAGTTTAGCGGTTGGCCAGCATGCTGCCAAAACTGGGTGTCAAGAAAACGACTTTGGCCTCCTCAATCTTTAGTTGACGAAATCATCCAAGATGGCTTTCACCTTGTAGCTAAAACATCTCCACAAGGGGATGAAGAACTTGAATGGCGATTTTCATTTTCTAAGGCAGAACGAAAACTGATGAAATCAAAGGGTCTTGGAAACAGAAATTATTGTTTTCGTATTTTTAAAATGGCCATTAAAGAGAACATTTCGTCAACATGCAGTCTTCTCACCTCGTACCACTTAAAGACACTTCTCTTCTGGGCAAGTGAAAGGTACCCCCCTGACAGATGGTCGGATGAAAATCTTGCTGTATGTTTTCTTGGCTTGCTAGACGACCTATTACATTCTTTAGCAAACTGCTCATGTCCACACTACTTCCTCCCAGATCTAAACTTATTTTCGGACTGCAGTACAGACCATTTGTATCACCTTGCTGGCCAAGTTTCTGCAATTCGTAGATCCCCTTTGAAATATCTAAGGCGACCAGGAGAAGATCCAAAAGAAGGCTACCATAACTTTATAGGAGCGATGAAGGAGTGGAAAGAAATGGAGTACAGCAACATTAACTAAAACAAATTAATTTAGTGTTTCTATTCAGTGACATTAAATTGAAAAAATAGAAAATACATGATTTCATTTAAGGTTGGACATGACGACAGTTATCAGTGAATAGACATGGAGGGAAAAAAACACTGTTGTCAAAAGCATAAATTAGATACAAGTTACTTGGACATGAACTAAAGGACAACTGAAAAATCAGAGTCCTAGACAGGAATCAAACTTACAACCTCCATAACACCGGTCAGATGCTCTGCCCATCAAGCTACTAGAACTTCTAGGGAGGTAGGCCGGTTTATCTGAAAGGGAAATGTATCCCGCTGGTCTGCGGGCTCTACAAGGTCAAGCGCCTCAGTTTTACAAATACATCATCATGACAGTATTTGTATGTATATAGTATGTGTTAATTTACTTTTTTGTCTCCATAAGATAATTATTATTGAGTCTTCACAGCGTTATTCACAAAAATGTACTGAAATGGTTAGGGGAGGGTTTCAGAGTAATAATTATTATTGCATACAAGTTTTAACTACATTTTGAAGTTACCTAACCTGACAAGATTAATTTCATTCACAATTAATTGTAGATTTTGCAAAATAATGTTGCTTACTAATGATAGCAAGAAAATAATTATTTTTAGAGATAATCAATAGTAACACAAATGATTAAAAGGCACATGATCCTCATAACATGCAGTTTGTTCAATACCAATGATTGCTTAATTTTAATAACTCAATTTTGTCTAAAATTATAAAGTACAATAATGTAGCCATGAAAATAACTGCTTATTTGTACATGACATACACTTGTATGGCTGGAATGTAATTAATGGAGGTACCAGTAGTTACCCATGCAAGTAAAATACAGTGTATGCAACAAAAACACAGCTCTTTCTCTCAATGTCTCCTCTAAAACTAAAACTCTGTGTATCACCATCATCTAATTGTCTATTGATGTGTTTGCGGTTTGTGGAAAACAGTAACAATGATATTTTTGTGATATAAATATACTGTACAATTAAAGCAGAGCTTACTTCACCAAA